AAAAAAAATTAGATGTTTTGATTGCTTAAATGGTGTTTGAGGGATTGGTGATGAAAATGGCTAAACTTGTGTTATTGATTTTTTGCATTTCCTATTATCCTGTTAATCACTGTTTCAATCGTGTCGATTGAAAATTTGCAGGGGCCATTGCGCAAAGCTGTGGAAGTTTTGCAGCAAGAAGTTTTGGAGGGTGGTTTGCTGAAATACTGTCTTGAGTTGGGTTCTAATGATCTCAAGGGCTTGATACAAGTTGTTAAGGACATTGCCTTCCAATATTCCTCATGTTCTTCCAAAACCGATTTGTGAATGGAAATTTAGTCTCGAGTTAGGATTGTTAAAATTAGAAGCAGTTGTTAAGGCAGATCAAAGAACAAAATTTTGCCTTTTTAGTAGCTAATCTGTTGCCAAGAGTTGAAATGCATTTTTTGTTGTTGTTTCTGCTGTTTATAGGACGAATTTTTTATAATCTTTGACTAACGAAGAGTTGTAATAATAATGCTGAGTATTCTTATTTTACGGAGCCGGAGCTTCACGGTGTACAAATTATCATATTCGAAATAGTTAGTGTTAACATATTAGATTAAAAAATATTGAGAACATAAAAAATTTTGGGAACCTCAAATTACTAACGGTCTTTATTACTATTTTTTTTAAAAAAAAAAAATCATATATTTAAGAGATAAATACAGAACATTATTAGAATAGTTTTTATTACCACCAAAATTGAAAAAATTCTTGGGATATGATCCGATTTTCCTCACAATCGCCAAAAAAATCAAATCAAGTAATAAGCTTATAATATATAAATCCACATTTTAAAACTTAGAAAATAAGTGCATATATATGCACCAAATAAATAAACTCACATTCCTGGTAAAATGAAATCCAATACTTATCATAAACTCATACATTTAAAATAAAGGCATGGATCAACCCTTGGTCTAATCAAGGATTTTAAATGAAATACGAAGGTTATCTTGAAACTTCCAACAACATCTTTAAGACAATGTTTGATGCCTCTTACAGAAGTTATTTGGAAATAGTTTTTCACGATAGTGATGTTAGTATTCTTCATTATGTGATTTAATAATAGTTGTCAATATTTATTATTTTAATATTTTTTGACGAAAATATTATTTTTGTATTGCGATTTTACAGGGTGGCCGCATACTGGACTAATTCGTGACGTTAACAATACAAAGATGAGTGACAAGTTCGAGGATGGTAAAAAGTAACATTGGTAAATAACAATCTATTACTGCAAAGTGTTGGAGTATCCTACCGATTTCCCAATGTTTTAATATATCCCATCGTTTAATATAAATATTAATATGTATCTCTTACCCGTGCATCGCACGGGATTCGTACTAGTAGTAAATAATATTGATATTCTTATATGATATAAGTAAAAAAATTCAATATGATTTGAAATTTTCATTTAATATACAAATATTTAAATATTATGATTAAAAAAAATATTGTTTGAAAATTTAATTAAATGACAAAGTAATATTTTATATAAAATTAAATTATTTCATCTTAAAGAAATTTTCAACATAAAAGCTTTAGTATTTTTTATTCACCCTTCTTAATTCAACACACGTGTAATACACGGGTATTGTATTAGTTTACAGAAGAGAAATAAAATTTTCAAAATATAAAATTATTTTTACAATTTGCTTTTGTAGAATTATGGATTTCTAAATGTTAATATTCTATTAGATGATAATTTTATTTTTAAGTGTACAAAAAAATAATCTTTAATTCCTAAAAGTATAAAAAATGCTTATATGCTCATTAACCTCAGGCATATATTAAAATATGCCGCGTACTTTCAATTTATCACTATATGGTATAAAAATTAATAATAAATGTATGAGGTTCAAATATTATTTCTTACTAGTTCAAATTTAGTTTTCAAAATTTCTCTATGTAATTGATATTATTCTTATTCCCTTCTATTACAAATTATAATTGTCAAATTGTTTTACCTTTTCAATAAACGAATTCCAATCCATTTAATTATGATCGAAAATTTGCCAACACTAGTCTATTATTGGACCGAATTTTCAACAAATAATAATAATAATAATAATAATAAGAAGAAGAAGAAGAAGAATTCTCCATGAAAATGACTAGAGATAGTGGGCACCCCAATCCTACGTTCCCCAAACCCCACCACCTCACCCCACACAGTTAATACTGATTAATAACAATTAACTGAAGAAAAATAAATTAAAAACTAACTAAATAAATTGACTGGCAAATCATTCTAACATGGTTTATAGATTTGCTAATAAAGAATCGTGCTCCAAAAATCTAAGAAAATAACCATTGAAAATAAAAATAAAAATAAAAAGTGATTAGGTATTAGCTAGCAGTGTCACCACAACATATACATGACATTCCACCAAATTGTAAGGATGAAGTTTTATGAAACATGTGACTAGTGCGTGGCCCGTGTGATGCACGAGAAAAAATATTATAATTGTATTATAAATAAAATATATAAATAACATTAATCATGATTTATCCATTGTTTTTAAATTAAACCGGGTTGGACACGGTTCGACCGAATGAACCGAGAACCGGTTTATAACCAGTCTAGTTCGCTTGAATAAAATATTTGCTATCGAATCCGTCAACACCAGTCGGTTGGACTGATAGGATCGGTACGATTTCTAAATAAATTTTGCTACATTTATAATTATTTTAAATAAAATAAAGATTTATAAATTATCTATCAATTAGTTTAAACATTTTAATTTATAAATTGTTTAGATATTTAAATAACACATTTTATTTAAAGTTATTACAAAAAAATGCTATATATATATATATTTATAAAAATGTCTATAAATTAAAACCTGAACAAACCACAAATGATTTAATAAAATAACTTGATCGTTTCGATGACGGTATGGTTTTGAAAACCTTATATTTACTGTACATTAATAAACATCATAGTAAAATATTATTTAATTCACATAAATTAATAAAATGATATATAAATATTCATAAATCATTAAACATGTTGTCATAAAAGTATTGTTAATACAATTATTTAAAGTTTGGACTACATCACATTCACCATATAAAGTATTTTCAATATTAAAATTTATATTTAGGTTCAATAATCGATTTGGTCTGGTCAAACGATACATAACTTAGTCACCTAGGACCAACCAAGTTGTGTCAAGTTTTTTGACTATTTTACTAAAAGTAATTCAATCAACCCTAATTCAATCACCCGATTGATCCAAAGAAATTTTCTTATTTCTTTTAAATATATTTAATTTTATGAAATAAAAATATTTTATGATTCATATAATAAATGTCTACACCAAATGATAATATATTAAGATTATAAATTATATATTTAAAAATGAATTAATTATTTTTACTTTATGCATGTTAATAAAAAATAAACATAGTAATTTTCAAAAAATTAAGATTAATTTATTGATTATGCGATTTAAAAAATATTTTTAGGGTTCAATATTTTTTCAAAGGAACAAATATAATGACCGAGATTCTAAAACTTTCGTTATATTTTCAATTGAGATTTCCTAAACATAAAGACCGAAATTTTAATTTTTTTCGTTGTTTCTAACAAAAAATAAAAAAATAAAAACATGCACACATAATAAGGCAAAATTTCAAAATTGGTCCTATAATTTGATCACAGTCCAAAAAATCACCCCGATATTGACTACTTTCAATTTAGGTCTTATAATTTGTCGAGTTCATTAATTTTGGTCTTTTTTTATCCGCACCCTGAATAAAAAAATTGATAAGGTATGACGTGTCAGCTTTTTAATATTGCATGACGTGATTATGGTCTAGATTAGAAAAGAAAAAATAAAACCATAAAACATTAAAACCAAAATGAGGTATTAAAACCAAAAAATACCTAAAAACATTAAACTGAAAACATAAAACTTAAAAACAAATCCTAAGCTCCTCCACCCATCCGTCTGCAATTTCCGATCCACTTCGCCTGGCCCTTCAATTGCTTTCTCGATTTGCTCCAGAAACTCTAGGCGTTGGTGGATCTGCAATTGAAGCCCTAGGCCTCCGTCCCCCTCGTCCTCGAATTCATGGACGCCGCTACAGGTTAATTGCCCTCCTCCTCATCAACATAAATAGGGGGAGGACCTCGCCGGATGTCGTTGGTGCAACTTTTTTTTTTTTAATCAATTTCCACTCTCGTCACCGATTTCCTCAAGGGCGTTCTTNAGGTGTTATTTCCATTTGGCAGTGAGGGTGCCTGCCTAAAAATCGTAAATAAATTTGACTTCGTGCCACGTGATGCCACGTCAATTTTTTATCTAGGGTGTGGATTTGATGAAATCGAAAAATTATAAGATCTAAATTGAAAGTGCTCAATATCGGGTGGTTTTTTGGACAGTGGTCAAATTATAAAATTAATTTTAAAATTTTGCCCACATAATAAATCTTAGTCGGAATTTTAAATAATAAAATGAACTAAAACTCAAAATTTAAGATTGCATTTAATGTTATATGATTTTTTAAAAAAAAAATAAGAAAAATAATAAAACTTACTATTTATAAGCTGCATTAAATTTTGACCTATTTTTTACTACAATTTTTAATAAATGGTTATATATATATAGATTGACTATCTCTAACAAAGTTCAAAAATTAATAAAATTAAGTTGACCTACTTTTGAAATTAAGTTACATGAATTTGGAACTATCAAGACAAGTATAATAAGTTCTCAAAATTATTAAAAATGGTAATACTAAGGATTATTTGCTCACATGGATATTAGATTACAATACACGAAAGCAGTGAAAATGGGACGAAGATCAGTAGGGAATGAAGCAAGCCAGATATGATTGAAATTTTGTAAGCATGACTGTCTCGACAAGAAGAATCTAGCAGTAGCTCACTCAACTAGAATGGAAGTCGAACGATGCAGGTATTACACTGGAAAAATAATAACAAGAATTATTGAAAATATGAAATAGTCTCTATTTAGGATGATACTTTAAACTAGTGCGTGGCCGTACGATGCACAGGAAAACAATATTACGATTGTATTATAAATTAAATATATAAATAACATTAATTATGATTTATTCATTATTTTTAAATTAAACCGGGTTGGACACAGTCCGACCGGATGGACCGAGAACCGGTTTATAACCAGTCTAGTTCGCTTGAATAAAATATTTGCTCTCGAATCCGTCAACACCAGTCGGTTGGACTGGTAGGATCGATTTTCTAAATAAATTTTGTTATATTTAAAATTATTTTAAATAAAATTATATATTTAAATTAAATATAGATTTATAAATTATTTATCAATTACTTTAAACATTTGAATTTATAAATTGTTTAGATATCTAAATAACACATTTTATTTAAATTTATTACAAAAAGTACTATATATATATATATATTAAAATATTTATAAATTGAAATATGAACAAACCACAAGTGATTTAATAAAATAAATTGATCGTTTCGATGACGGTCCAGTTCTGAAAATCTTATATTTACTGTATATTGATAAATATTATAATAAAATATTATTTAATTCACATAAATATTAATAAAATGATATCTAAATATTCATAAATCATTAAACATGTTGTAATAAAAGTATTGTTAATACATTTATTTGAAGTTTGGACATCACATTCACGTAATAAAATATTTTTAATATAAAATTTATATTTAGGTTCAATAATCGATTTTGTGTGGTCGAACAAATACATAACTTAGTTACCTGGGACCAACCAAGTTGTGTCAAGTTTTTTTGACTATTTTAAATATTACCTAAAAGTAATTCAATCAACATGAGCAGTACCCTAGTTCAATCACCCGATTGATCCGAAAAAATTTTCTTATTTTCTTTACATATTTTCAATTTTATGAAATAAAAATATTTTATGATTCATATAATAAATGTCTACACCAAATGATAGTATATTAAGATTATAAATTATATATCTAAAGATGAATAAATTATTTTTACTTTATGCATATTAATACAAAATAAACATAGTAATTTTTAAAAAATTAAGATTAATTGATTGATTATTCAATTTAAAGAATATTTTTAGCGTTCAATATTTTTTTTAAAGGCACAAATATAAAGACTGAGATTTTAAAGTGTTTGTTATATTTTGAATTGAGATTTTAATGTTGTTCGTTGTTTCTAAGAAAAAAATAAAAATAAAAACTTACACACTTAATAAATCTTTGCCGGATTTTTTAAATAATAAAATGAACTAAAGCCCAAAAGTTAATGTAGCATTTAATGCTGTATGATTTTTAAAGAAAAAAATAAGAAAAATAATGAAACTTACTATTTATATGCTGCATTAAATTTTGACCTATTTTTTTGCTACTATTTTCGGTAAATGTTAATTCTTATTATATATATATATAGATGTCCAACGATGTGGAATCCACTCAACGGAAAACAATCGAACCAAAAAGGAAAGAAAATAATGATGAGAAAATCAATAATTTGTCCACGTTTGAAAATAATCACGAATTTGTGATTAGTATACCATTTTTATGAATTTGAAAACATATTATAGTGAGATCAAATTCATGTATATATTTAAAATATAAATCAGTTTAGTGTATTTTCTTGAAAAATAAAATTGGTATGTAATTAACTAATGTGCAGAATTTTGTATGAAGTAAAATAATAAATGTAGAGTGCGGATCGACGAAATATGCTCGTTCACGGTGGTGCGATGCACGGCGCACGGACGTCGGAGTGGTGGCTGACCAGGGACGACACGTGAAATATGTGGCTCGTCTAACATCGAGAAGGCCTTCACCTACAACGTGAAGGGCAGCCCAATGAATTTCTAAGACCTTGCAGATCGAACGCGAGGGCCGTGAGGATGTGCAAAGCGGCGTCGTTCGGGTCAAGCGCAATAGCACGATAGGCTTCGGCCTCGACTCTGCCGACGAGGGATACGACGTCAAAGGTGGAGGATCTGGCTTAGGATATTTCTATGGCTTCAGGCGTTCTAGGTCAGCTGATTTCCCCCTCTTCATGAAGTCGACAAGATTGGCGGAGGCAAAAGGAAGGGGAAAGGGATGACAGTGATGTTTGAGTAGAAATTGGCGGCGGCAGTACAGATGTCGTAGGATAAGATGGCGGTGATGAGGAGAGAAGAGAAATGGCCGACAAATTTCACTGGCCAAAAAATATTTTCTGTATATGTTGCGTTTATACTAAATATATTTTCAGCATATATTGCATTTTTATTTACATAACATTATTGAACCACAATTGTGATGTTTTTGATTTTGTTTATATTTTTTATTTATATTTTTTACTTAATTTTATACCTACAACCCATAATATGTAAACAAATTATAAACGCTCGCAGGATGTAAAAAAAAAAAATTGCTTAGTTTATAACTTGTAACTGTGTATATAACATATAAGTAGACAATACAATTTACGTCTCTTCGTCATATAAGTAGACATATACAATTTACTTCTTCCTAATATACAATGACAAGACCGACCAGGTCGGCAATTATAATTAAAAGAGGTCAAAGCTTAACGGCTAGCATCATAATCTTGTGCAAGACGGGCATCTAAATAATTTCAATTTATGTTGCGTATATAGCCAAAATCTTTTTAGTATTATGTTGCATTTTTATTTACATAACTTTTACCAGCTCAAATGTCATATTTCTCATGTACTTATTGAACAACAATCGGACAACATCATTGGAGAGATTGATGTTTGATCTAATCTCTTTATCTAACATTAGTACCATCAAGTCTGTAGATTCACGAGCGAAACCCTTTTCAATAAGCTCCAACAAAACACTATGGAAAATAGACATCCTCTCCAAGTAAGAATATCTCACCATTTTATCTAGACGACAGAGCTAATAAGAACCAATAAGAACCATGAGAAAAACCAAACATCTATTCACAAAAAAATACTCAACAACTAAAACATAAACACACGATAGAACTACAAAAATAAAAATAAAAAGAAAAATGAAACAAAAAACATTAATATGAATATCCAAAACAACATAAACAATAATAAAAAGTAAAAAATAAAAATGCCTATTTGTCGTCTCATGTCAATTTCTTCATCAACAAAAAAAATCTGCTAATATACCAAATGTAAACTATAAATAAATATCAAATAAACATTAAAAACAGATCCAATCGAAACTATCCGCATGTCGCCGCTGCTCACAAGTAGGGCTGTCGTCACATCACTGAGACTCCGCCGACGAGCGTTCCCGAGAAGAGCCTACAGCCGCAGCCGCTTATCTTCGAGGTGCTCGACAGATCACCGCCACCAAACGTTGCCACCTTTGGACAAGCCAAGCGAACCATTGGCGCTCAAAAGCGTGGACGCTATTCGTCTCGTCACGCTGTCTTGGACAATCTTTGTCGGTGCTCGACCATCCGCAGCTGGTGCCTGACAGATCGAGTTCCCACCGCCCTCGACTGAAGCCCGTCATACGATGACCTCCACCACTCACGAGCCGAAATGGACCGCCACATGATCTTAGTTGTCCGCTTTATCCACAGAAATCGCCGGTTGTCGTGCCCCTCCACCCGCCGTAGAGGACGACCCGAAAGAAGATGGCGGGGTGATCATTTTGCCATGAATTGTGCTATTATTTTTTAGCGAAGAAGATAATGAAGATTTACAACAATGGCGTGAAAGATGAGAGAAAATTGAATGTAGAAAGAGAAATCCCATCAAATTAAGGCAATTACCAACTACATGCAACCACCTTAATAATTATTTTTAAAAAAGGTAAGTTAAAATTTGAGAAAATCTGGTATGTATGCAAATATTTATGTCATATATTGTATGTTTGCAAATAAAAAATTATATGTTAGTATATATGTAATATTCTATTTTCGATTAATGTATGGGGTAATTTTCTCTTTTTTGTATTTAGCACATGAATTGATGCCCACAATTATATGTTATTGAAAATAGACATGGCCATTCAACTGTTCTAGGTCGGTTCTAGGTCAGAACCCCCATTTCAGGTTCACATTTTATGTGAATCAAAACCGGCCCGCGAATATATACGGGCTAGTTCAACGAACAGACCGTTCACGGTTCAATGAACCGTACTTTTATGATTCAGGTTCACATTTTATTTAAACCGGGAATATATATGAACCAGCGTTTCATGATTTCAGATTCACATTTTACATGAACTCAGAATGTCCCGATATATCTTCTGTGTCGGCATCAACGTCAACAATGGAGGAAAACCACTCAAAGATGCGCCTACATTTTTACGCTTTGGTGGCCGACCAGAACCACCACACTCGACATATCATAATTTGAGTGAATTTATAAAATAAAAATGAGAGCTAAAAATGATAGAAATTGAAATGAGAGAGCAATATGTAGAGAATTTATAGAGCGAAATCGAAATGAGAGAGAATTTATAGAATTAGGACTGATTTTATCTAGAACCAGACACAATATCCCAAAATATAGCAAGAGAACTTAGAGATGATATGAAAAAAGTTATAATTTG